CCCGAATGGCGACTGCTTGTAGTTCTCTCTTCCGGGTTATGCTTGGAGATGGCTTCGGAGGAGCCAGACGCAGGGAAGGCAGAGGAAAGGTTCAGGGGATTGGAAATGAAGTACGGGAGAGATGGTGGGAGTGTTTAGAAGACGGAGCCAAGGGAGATAGGAGAGTGGTTTTCAGGGATTGGAAAGGATTGCCCGGCGAAGAGGGCTGGAAGTTGTTCTCCGTTGTTTAATGTTTTATTAAATTGGGTAGGTTTCAGTTCTTCCAAGGGAGGGGAAACCACCTCCTGTAAGCGGCACCAGTTATCCAGTGAAGTGGGAGGCTCTGCTTTCCTACACACGTTTGGGCAGCCTTTAATTTAGATTCCTGCCCTGGGGCTGCACTAGATGGCCTCATGGGATCCCTTGAGGATTCTAGCAGGCGTGCGTGTGTTTGGTTGATCTAACTCCAGCTTTATTGCTATGCAGTTTTGTCGGAGTTTAGAGCAAGGGTGGGTTAATTTTTTTCTCTGCTAGGGGCCACATTCCTCCAGGAATTTGTGGGGCGCTGCAGGACAGGCAGGACTGAGCCCGGTATGGATGGGACCCCCATCAGGCGACGGAGAAGGGACCGTATTTCTCACTAAAGGCCCCAAGTGATCTCCTGCAGGATGGCTTAGAAAAGCTGGCAGCCAAAAGTGATCTCCTGCAAGTTGGCTCCTGGGTTAGGACAACGCCCCTTTATTCTGCCATCCCCACATGTTGGCTGTGCCGGTTGGGGATGATGGGTGTTGTAGTCCAACCCCTGTGAGGGCCGCCAGCTTGGAAAGATTGCTTTTCAGAGCCCCCTTTTTATCAGTCTGATGCATAGATTCACCTTTTTTATAGATCTGGTTTAGAGACACCCCCCCCCTTTGGAGAGATCCCTTTTATGAATCCACCCTTGCTATACATCCGATTTATAGGAACCCCCTTTTGCTAGACCTCTTTTACAGATCCACCCTTTTAAGAGATCTGGTTTATAGGCCCTTAATAGATCCCTTTTATGGATCCACCCTTGTTATATGTCCGATTTACAGAAACCCCCCTTTGATAGATCCCTTTTATAGATCCACCCTTTTCAGAGAGCCGGTCTATAGGCCCCCTTTTGATAGATCTCTCTTGTGGATCCACCCTTGTTAAACATCCAATTTATAAAAAGAACCCTTTTGATAGATCCCTTTTATAGGTCCACCTTTTTAGAGATCTGGTTTATAGACCCCCCCCTTTTGATAGATCCCTTTTATAGATCCACCCCTTTCCTTCTGCTCCAAAGTCCCCCCAAACAATTTTACAAAAAAGACTCATCCAAATTTCAGCCGTCGGCATCTCCTTTGCTCGGTATTATTACTCTGAGGGTCCGGTTCGGGGAGAAACGTAGCTCTCCTTCCCGTTAAAGGAAGGGATGTGCTCAGTTTGGGTCGAGAGATTCATTCATTGCCTCGTTTAGCATTTCATTTATTAGCAACGAATTGATTGACGAGCTTTGGGTCCCGCCTTTCATGCCGGAGCGGAAGGGGGCAGATTTAGCGCTGTGTGCTCTTTTCCCCCATCAACAGCCACCCTGCGCATCTTCAAATCGACAAGTTTCTTCATTTGACTTAGATGCCACTTTTCATCCGGGCTCTCATGGTGGCAGGCCCAGTGCGCTCTCCTCCCATTCCCCTCAACAACAGCCCTGTGAGGTGGGTTGGGCTGCAAGGGAGGAATTGGCCCAAGCTATTCCAGAAGCTTGCGCAGCTGATGGGAGACTTGAACCCGGGTCTCCCCAGGGCCCGCCCAACCACCGCTCTACACCTCTGGCTTTCCAGGGGAGCCTCCACATCTGCACCCGTTAACTGCCCCTCCTTCCCCCAATTTCCTTTGCAGCAGCACCAGCCCGGCTGGCTGTTTGTGATACACGAACACGGCAATTGTGTTCTGTGAATCCAGGGTGGGCCGTCCTGTGTGGATCCAACCCACGGCTCTTGAAAAGGCGGCAACCGAAACCGGTTAGGCCAGAAAAACTCTGCTCCGTTTGATTCTCAGGCCATCCAACACCACGCTTTGCTTTCCTAACTAAGAAGCACCACCAAACTGTTGCTCGGTCCTGCCAAGATCTCGGCTGGCAGGAACGGCCCAAACTCTCGAGCAGAGAAAGGATTTTTCCTCCCCACCATTGGCTAACCTGGTTCTGCCAGAAGTTTGGGCCTCATTTCTCCCAAATATGCCATCCCTAATTCATGGCATTGCTCAAAGACAGTTGCCTTTTCCCATGGATTTATATTCCCTGGTTGCTAATACTTAAGAACAGCCCCCTTGCAGTTTTCAGCCAGTTCCTTGCCATGAATTAAATTACAGGTAGTCCTCGCTTAATGACCACGATAGGGACTGGAAAATTTGTGGTTAAGCAGGGTGGTGGTGAAGCGAGTTGCGCCTAATTTTATGACCTTTTTCGCAGTGGTCATTACGCAAATCACACAGTCATTAAGTGAATCATGGGGTTCCCCATTGATTTTGCTTGCCAGAAGCTGCCTGGAAAGGTCACAAATGGCAATCACGTGACACCAGGATACCGTCATAAGTGCGAGCTGGTTGCCAAGCGCCCAGATCGTGATCACATGACCATGGGGGTGCTGCAACGGCGGTAAGTACGAGAACCAGTTGTAAGTCCCTTTGTTCAGCACCGTTGTAACTTTAAACGGTCACTAAAAGAATGGTTGTTAAGTGAGGACTACCTGTATTCTTGTGGCAAGGATTTCCACTGGTGAACAGATGAAACATGGTTTCTCTTTTCTTCCACCCTTCCTCATCAATATATTAGAAATCAGGAAGCAGTGATTTCATCTCAATCGGCTACAGTCCACAGTAAACAACGAGGCATCATGGGAACTGTAGTCCAAAACATCTGGGACTAGATTCCAGGATGCCCAGCCTCTTTTCCTCCCCATGAAAAGATTTCCTTTCCTGCGCTGGACGGAGGTCCAATCCAGCCTCTCTGTTAAGGGGCAAGATTTTCAGCACCGTTTAACGAAATATATCTGTCGAGCGTTCAACCCACCACCGTCTCCGGGAACTTTCAATGCTTTTTTTTTTTTTTTTTTTTATAAAATCACAAAGTCACAAATATAACACACACAAAACAGAAGACAGATCCAAAGTAGTGCAGGCAGGAGACGTCACCAGGTGCGCGGTTGGGAACCAGACGGCAAGGAAGGCAGAGGACAGTGACGGAGAGGCGGGGGATTTGCTGCGTCATGGGGGCCTAGGAGCTGCCATGCAAACTGGGGGGGGGCAGATGCACCCACATTTTGGGGGGGCAGAGGAAGAGAGCAGTGGGGTTAAAGCCCATGGAAGCGGGAAGGAGATTCCGCCTTGAGACCCGAGAGCCGGGCGAACGAACTGGCTAGCTCAGCTCGGTTTTGAAACGAAAGGCAAAATATAAATATCCTCTCCGGGTGGATGGGGCTGTGCGTGGCTTCCCTGTCAAACAGATGCAAGGAAATAAAAATCTGGGCTCTGTACAAACCCTCCCGCCCCCAAACGGACGACAGACACAGAGGAACTGGAGACTGGAACAGAAGCTAATGGGAAACGCAGCAATCCTGTGTTAATATTTTTTTCCCTTTTTTTTGCAGTCGGGAGAGATGTTTTGTGCTGTTCTAGGGGCTGTGGAAGAGCGCAGATTCTGGCTTTAGACTGTGCTTTGGAGAAACAGGCAGATGAGGATTCCCCCTCCTTGCCCCCCTCCCCGTGGCTTCCCCTCTCCTTGTCTCGGACTGAGGGCCGAGGGGCGAAAACCACGTTGTGCAAATTCTTTGTTCCAGAAACTCGGTTTGGAAAGAGCTTCCGATGTCCAGCCTTTCGGAGGCAAAAGGAAGCTTCGTTTCATGAAACCACGGCCTGAAGTGGGGCAGGTGTGGGGCGGGAGGCCGGTAACATTCCCCTTTTCAAATTCTTGAGAATTGGCCAAAGGGTTGATTTTCTCCCAAATCCGGGTCTAAAGTGTTGACTGAACGCAGGATATTGGAGAGATTGGACCGGGTTCAATCCATTACACCCCTCCGTGCGGGCCTAGCAGCGGGTCTGCCAGCTTTCTTGAAAAATTCTTTCCCCCCCATAAAGTCGTCTTGCAAGTCACCATCCAAAACACCTGGAAATGTTTTTTTTCCCTCCAAAATAGAGATGGGTGTCCCACCTGCTCCCTCCTGAAATGGAGACTTTGGGGTGAACCAAATTGGATGCCAGCCCTACATCAAAGTTGCTCTCGCCAGGGCAAAATGGGCAGTGGAGAAAGGAAAAGGAGTTCCTCCGTATGTCCATGGGGAGGGTCATCCGAGGCTCACTTCCCCCAAGTTTGGGGAGGTCCAGTCCCAACTCCAAAACGCAAAGCGCCTCGGTCCGAACCCATCCTTCAGAAGCCTTGAATGTGGCAATACGCTTCTAAGGCCGCTAAGAGAATGTAGATCAGCCAGAGGCTGATAAAAAGCAGGGTGGCCAGAATTTTAGGGGTTCGGGGCCCACCCAGTTCGCCCCCCACCGGAGGCCGGCGGCGGTACAACAGCACGGCGATGCTGACGAAGGCAAAGATGGTAAACAGGGTGACGGAGAAAGCCAGCGTGCCAGGCTGCACGCGGAACGGTTGCCCCTGGCTGGCCCAGTAGCTGGCGGCAATGGTCCAGGCCACTCCGATGCCCAGGAAGACGTTGACCGCGTTGCTGCCCGTCACGTTGCCGATGGAGGCGTCGGCGTGCTGGTCTTGGATGGCGGCAACTTTGCTGGCAAACGTATCTGGAGGGGGAGAGGAAGACAGAGGAGAGATTATTCCCCAAAGCGAGTCAACCAGCATCTGGCAAGGGGGGTGCTGCACATCTGGAATTGGGAGGGCTGGCTTCACGACCATGATGGGCACCTCCTTTCTGAAAGAAGGACAGTCAGGCTGTTTCCCATCATCTCATCTTACCATCATCTCTTTTTCAGGACACGGAGCCACGTTTCCCGAAAAAGCTAGCTTGCAACCACCCCATCGTTTTTATTGACAGATCAATCGCTCAATCAATGAAAGATGAGATATGACTATGTCTTTGGGGCATGCATGCACCAGTCTGCATGAGTGAAGCTTCCAAAAACTGCATCAGGGTTTCCCAACCTCCGCCACTTTAAGTTGGGTGGACTTCAACTCCCAGAATTCCCCATCCAGCAGGCTGGCTGGGGAATTCTGGGAGTTGAAGTCCACCCATCTTAAAATTGCTGAGGTTAGGAAGCACTGAGCTCCAATTTCTCACTTTGCCTCTCTGGAAACTACAGTTAAGAGTTTTGTGCAAGCCCAGAATTAAGCCACAGTTTAATGTGGGTGTTCTATTCCAGCAAGGCAATTAACCAGAATGACCTGGCTTGGCTTAAATGGGCAGTGGTTACAAACTAGAAGCGATCTGAGCTCTAGCTTCTTCCTTCAGAAGCCACGGGTAATATCACAAAAGCGTTTTGCCTGGAGCTGCCCAGAGTAGCTCAACTTCCTTCCCAACATCCTCAACTTTAGCCAGACTGGCTGGGGCACATGGCTGTTGTAGTGCAGCCATCTCTGAAGGCCCACAGGTAAGATTGTGTATATCTGTTTCGGGATGGGGGTGTGTGGATGTGAGAGAGGGGAGTTGGAATTCCTTTTTGTGAAGGCGTTTTACATTTATATGAAAAGAATTAGCTTTGCTATTTGGAGTTATCAAAGGCACCTTGCTCTCACCCTGATTTTGATTAACAGATCAATTAATCAAACTCTTCAGCCTTTGGTCTCAATTTTATCAGGAATTCCAGCCCATATTAGTGATTAGTTGGCCTCTCTTTGAATCCACTCATTCCTGGGCTTCATTTAAACCAGTATTTCTCAATTTTGGCCACTTTAAGATGTCTGGACTTCCCCATGCTGGCTGGGGAATTCTGGGAGTTGAAGTCCAGACATCTTAAAGCGGCCAAGGTTGAGAAACCTGGACTTCCCCATGCTGGCTGGGGAATTCTGGGAGTTGAAGTCCAGACATCTTAAAGCGGCCAAGGTTGAGAAACCTGGACTTCCCCATGCTGGCTGGGGAATTCTGGGAGTTGAAGTCCAGACATCTTAAAGCGGCCAAGGTTGAGAAACATTGATTTAAACAGGGCTTACAACTCACACAGCTCCAGTTAACAAGGATTTTACTGTCTATCCACCCAAACCAGCCACCCTCGTCCCAAACGAGATTTTCCTACTGGACAAATAGCCCCTTGCAAGCCTGGCTGTTTTGCAGAGCAGCTGATCTGGCTAAACAGCTGAGGTCCAGCCAGAGATTTATTTTCCTTCCCACTAGCCGCTCAGGTTGTGCAAAGCTTCCAAAGAGCTAGAGATTTAACTAGCAAATTCCCCTCTTGGAAGGGGGAACGAGTGGGTTTGAGCTAATAACAGAGCTGCAAATTCCAACCGACGGATCAGAAAGTGGGACGTGGGGCCGGCGCGTATTTGCACATCCTCGCTCACTGACTTGGAGATGTGACCTTATCACTGTTTTTCCAACAGCCTACCGAGAGAGAGAGAGAGACGGATGTTCCCCCCCAGGACTGTTTTCCAGATTGTCTATTAAACGCAACCCCTCTTTAAAATTCACCCAGCCGTTGGTTTTTGTCAGCTGCGTGTTCAGGAAGTTGACTTTTCTGCTCTTTCATCCATGGTGTTCTGATTTTGGCAAGGCCTTTCAGTGAGTCAATTCTCCCTAAATAGCAAAAAGCAAAAATCTAGGGTTTGCTCCAGGCGCCTGTCAAAACCTTGGTGTGCAGGGGTGTACCCGGGGACGGGAGAGAGACTTTCCGGAGAAACATCTGCAAAACGGAGAGCTTGGCCACCGTTTAGATCTCCGATGCAATTCAGTTTTTGGTTTTTTTTAAAAGGTGCAAAAGGGTTGGGTTTCATTCCGCCCACATACCCGCACAGAGGCCTGCTTATTTATAGGTAAACTAAGCGAAACTAAGCTAAAAATTCAAGGCCAAAGAACCCAAAATGCATTCCTTGGGGGACTTAAGGCATGAGAAGGTCTTGGAGGTCGCAGCTCGCAGAAGGATCCCCTGGATTTTTGCAGCCAGGTTGGCAAAAAGCAGATGGGTAGCGAGTCATAAGATAAAGAAAGCTGGTTAGTTACACTGGTTAAGCTGGACGGAGGGCGAATCGTAAAGAAAACAGTGGCTGCATTCTCACAAAATGGATACCACCATCCATGGGGTTCAGCCTTCACCCACAGCCAGAAATGAACAAACCGCATTTTGACTTGTGCGCCCAAAGCCACGGTGTCTGCTTTATGGGGTACACCTTTAAAACTGGGTCTCATTCAGCAGTAGGACAATGGGCGCAGGCTGCCAGTCTTGTATAGGAGAGAATTGTAGACTTGGACTAACTTCTTGAGATGTTTCCCTCTCAACAGCTATTAACGATGACAAATAGATAGAAACTTCAGGTAGAGGAATAGTCTATCTGGAAACACCGGAAACGAGGAGGTGGCAGCCTTCCCTGAACTTGGTGCCCTAGGAGTTGGGGATGCAACTCCCATCATTCTCAGCCAAGGGCAGTTTGGGGCCCGCCCAACGGCAGGTGCATCAAAATCTTTAAATCTTGCCTTCCTTTTTAAAATCTCCTTCGTTCCTCCAGGTGCCTCCATGGAAGGAAGGAAGGGATCGGAGGGGACCTTTGTCCGTGGTGCTGAATTTGCAAGCCCAGGACCTCCGCAGCACGGTTGCCAACGCCTTTGCCTGGCTTCTGTTCTGGTATGAGAAAGTTTCAACTAGCGATGTCCTTCTTCCAAAACTTCCCCTTACTTCCCCTCTAACCCACGGCTCTGAGTTTTCCCTGTAGTCTCCGATCCAAAGTTCAAGACCGATCGATGTCCCCTGGATGCTCCTGTGAGCTCTTTAGAGTTACCTCTTGGCAGATGGCGAGTTTGAATGCCTGCTCCCCTTTCCATAAGCCACCCAGAGCAATTTTGAATCCAATAATAATAATAATAACAATAATAATAATAACAATAATAATATAACCTCCCTGCCTCTAACTGGGTCAATATTACAAGGACCCCGTTCAGATTCCTCGTAGCAAATCGCAGCACTCTGGCCCACCCCCCACCATGGCCAACTCTGTGTCTGGGCCCGTGTTCATTGGGTGTCTGGTGCCCTCGGCCACCCATCACTAACCGGGCACGGAGGTGCCCAGCGCCACGAAGACCACCGCCGTGACCGAGTCTTTGAGGCCGATGGTGCAACCGAAGTGAGAGGCCAAGTCCCCGGTGAGGGCGGTGAGCACGCCGATGAGGCAGATAGAGACGAGGAAGCAGGCCCACCCACACCAGTATTCGGTGGGCGGCACGAACGCAAACAGGACTTTCCAGAAGACCGTGAGGAAATGCATGATGTAGTCGAAGCAGGAGGGTAGACGGTCCTCGCCAGAGTCGTCGTCCTCATCGTCACCTGGGGGGGTCATTAAAACACAGACTCAGCCGCTCCCCAGACAGCGACATTCGCCCTTCCTTCTTTTCCAGCCGTCCCTTTAAAACCCGGCTGCGTTCACACAACGAGGCCGGGGCAAATCCTGGTTCACGGTGTGCTATGCTGGGCTAGGGTTAACCCGGGTTAGTTTTCAGGGGCTTAGGGTTTTGTACGAAGGCGGCTTAGGGTTGTTTGATGGATCGATGACTGGGGTTGAGCACATGCCGGGCAACTACATTAAATCAACGTCCTCGTTGCCTGACTGGGTTCAGGGCGTTGCTGCTGTGATGGAATGGA